TCTCCTTCTATCCTCCTTAGTTATTGTCCAACTCTCTGATGCATAACAAGTGTAATGAGTTTCTGTTAATAGAGATAAAAATTTGGAAATGGATATTAGTACACCACCAAGGCTCACATAGTGAATATAGGATAAATGTCAATGGATTATAAATGTAAAAATGATTGTAATGGCAAATGTTTTCTTGTATGTATTTCATGCCAATAATATATTCTAGGAATGGCCATCACCCTGTTATCTCAAACATAGACATCTCAATGTAGAAGAGTTTCCCATTTTTGTCCCAGGCAAACAGCTAAGATAAAAGTCTTTTTTGGAGGACTTCCACTATCCCCTAGGCTAATACCTGCCTTGAGCTGCAGTAGTAACAGTTAGCCCCTGTAACCTACTTACCTAAAAAGCCTCAAATATAATTTTACCCGATCACCCATCTTCCTCCAAGATTACCAGTTGCTGGCCCCAAATTTACTACATTTGAGTTGATTCCGACTTATAATCTCTCTATAAGGCTTCTGAGGCTATATATTTTTACTGGAAGAGACTGCCCATCTTTCTCCAGTAGAGCACAGGATGGATTTGAACTGCCAGCCTTTTTCAGCAGCCCAGTACAGTGTACACCACCACCAAGGCTATCTCAGTCATGACTTATCTTCCAAGTTCTTACCATCTTTCAAGCCCATTCATGCTACCCTATGGGATTTGGGATCTGTCTCTTTGTGTTTTCGCTAACTTCTGGTTCAGATGGAAGTCTGGTTATTCCTTGAGGGTATTTCCACATTCCTTCAAAAGGTAGTTTAGTCTTAAACCCATGTACCTTTCTGTACTGCCATTTCTTCTCATCATTAAAAAGCACAGCTATGCAACACAACTACTGGTTCCAAATAGACGATGAAGGATAATATAGTCCCTATGTACATAGCTTTTTTTTCCCCTTGAAAATCCATCTTGAGTTATCTTTTATTTAGATAAAAGCAAAGAGGCAAGGGTCTACTGTCATTTGTATGCAATTCCTGTTACCTTGAAAAATAGAAATGTTACGGGGTGGGGGGCGGGGAGAAGCACAGCTATTTTGAAATGAGTATCACAAGGTTGTTGTCTCTTTCCCATTCTGGATATTTTTTTTTACCCATTCTGTCATTTGTTGGCTTACCCCTAGGGTATAGGACCACCCTGAGTTCAAGAGAGAGCTGAAATGCACACCCATGTTTATTGCAGCTTTTATTGCACAATAGTAAAGAGTTGGAAACAACCTAAGTGCCCATCAACAAACAAATGGATAGAGAAGCTGTGGTATAGTCATACAATGGAGTACTACACTGCATTGAAAAACAAGGAACTCATGCAATATTATTCAAAATGGGTGACTCTGGAGGACATTATGCTGAGTGAAGTATCTCAGTCACAAAAGGACAAATACTGCATGGTGCCAACTGTTGTAAAACAGGACTGACCTTGGGGTTGGGGAGAAATTGAGAAAGATGGGTTCAGTAATGTATACTGCATTGAAACAGAAGAGGGAGAAAACTGCTTAAGAGGGAAAATGATTAGGTGTTTTTGTCATGACAGGAGTCCAGAGCGAAGGCTGTATAGTGGAATGGGTGGGGGGAGTGGGAGAGGGATTGTAAAACAATGAAAGAATTTTACTTTTTCAAGACGGTAGTCTACTAAGGGGGAGGGTTGGGTCATTGAAATTTATAATAATAAAAAAAAAGCAGGAGGAGATAAACTATGGACTTAAAATTCAAAAAGGTATTTGGGCAGATAGTTTAAAATCGTATCGTCACTTGCTGTCATTTTAAAGTTAGTTATATGAAGATGCAAAATGCAATCATTGTTAATTCCTAAAAAAAAAAAAAAAAAAAAGCTGAAGTTCATGGCTCTGTGTCTGAAATGGGAAAGCCAGAAACCATTGAGACGCGTCTTCCTAGAGCGCCGGCGGCGGCGCGGCGGGGCGGGGCGGAGGCGAGCGACCGGAAATAGCCGTTTCCTGCGGTCGGCCATTCTTCTGGTCCCCGGCTGCCGCCGCCCCCACTCCGGTGTCATCTTTGGTGCTTGGTGACCAGGCCGCTTGCTCAGGATCGGAGCGGCTGCAGGAGCTCCCGGTGAGCGGCTTGGACTTAGAGGCGGGCGGGCGCGCGGCCAGCGCCCTGGGGCTGAGCTCGGCCGGGCTGCGCATCCCTGGTCAGCCGGCCTCCTGCTCTGACCCGGCCACCGTCCCCCCAACACCCGGGATCGGGGCTCGACCCCGTGGCTTTGGGTTTTGCACGCAGCCGGCCGGGGAAGGTGTCGAGCTCAGCGTCTCTCTGCGTCTCTGAGCTGGTGCTGGAGACACATGTGCTTTTGGCACAGTGACCTCAGGAGCCGGGGTGTCCAGCGCTGGTCTCTCCGCTCCTTCGTCGTCTTTAGTCTCATAGAGAATATTTTTGGAGATGCTCAGAGTAGTTACTCCCGACTTAAGAAAATAGATATAGCTAAATGCCATATTTATTTTCTATTTTTTGGGTTTTGTGTGTGTGTGTGTGCCGTCAAATCAGATCTGACTGGTACAGGAGGAGGTTGTCCCTCCTCCAGCGGAGCATCTGGTGGATTCGAACCGCACACCTCTGGGATCACAGGATGCCATCTTTTACATTGGCTGGGTCTCCCTCGTTGCTGTCGAGCTGTAACTGACCCGTAGCTGACCCTCCAGCGGGTTTTCTGGGGCTGTAAACCGCACAGGAGGAGATTGCCTGTCTTTCTCCCACGGAGCTGCTGGTGCGTTCGAACCCATTGCGTGTGATTTGACAGCGCAACTCACCCACAAGGTTAACAGAGCGCACTAGTAATGATAATTCAAAGTAAAACCTCGAACACTCGTACAACCGATGCTAAACACATAGTAAGACTGTAAATTCAGGATAAAGGCTGATTCGGGCGAGTGGGCGGAGTCACTGTCATCTTCCTTTCACGTCAGGTTGAAGCTTCATTTTGGACTAACATTTGAAGACCACTGTTTGGCTTTTTGAGTTTGTGATTATTTTCTAGTAACTATTGTGTGTTTTTACAAGTTTTTAAATTTGTAACCAGAGAAATATTATTTGTAAAGAGCAGAAAAGATGCCTAGAGAGCAGGCAGTTTAAATTCTGTACGATGAACCCCTATTCAAATTTATCCAAATATTTTTATTCATATTTTGAATAGTGAGAGAATTAAAAATGTGTCTGGCAAAGCCATACAGACCTTAATACAGATTTTGTTTCCTAATTAAGGATTTTTTAATTATTATTAAATTTTATTAGTTTTAATGAACATTTACAGAGATTTTGGGTTCTCATTCATTCATTGTTGCACTGTTTTCTCTACCCTCCTCCCCAGTTCGTTCTTCTTCCCCCCCATGTCTGTTTTAATTGTCCAATTGCCACAGTGCTTGTCAAAGCCAGTTCTGATTAATCTCCTTTGTCAGTGTGTCCTTTGCCATTCGCTACCACTCCTCCCTGAGAGAGACTTCACCCTGATTCATAAGGAAAAGGGGATGGCGTATTCTCTTAGCTACTTCCTGCTGAAAAGGGACGCTGTGGGTTTCAGGGTGAACCTAATTAAGGATTAAATTACCTGGTGGGCGGGCCTTTGTGTTTAAAAGTCAGCTGGGGCCTGACCAGGTCTCCAGTTTGGAGGCTCATGTGTGAAGAAGTTGGTTTCTGGTGGGTAGGTTCTCTTGTTTTAGTTGAAAGTTGAGTGTAAACTTTTCGGTGTTATTTATATTTATATGTTATGTATACTTATATTTATTTCGTTCACAATCGTGTGTGAGCTGATTGGAGTTACAAGCATCTGTGAGCTGGAAGCCTCTTGTTTAAATCAATCAGGACCTGGTGGGTGGGCCTTTGTATTTAAAAGTCTGTGCACCTCTCAGTGCCTGGTGTTAATTGTGTTTGGGAAGCACTTTCTCCTAAGTGGTACAGCACTAGTCTTCAGTTTGCTGTACTGAGGTAACTTGGGGTTGCTATGATGTTGAATGCTGTACCACTGATGTGTCAAATGCTGTACTGGTTAGTGATGGTGGACAGTGTTTGGTGGAGCTCCCAGATTAAGACAGGCTTGGAAGCAGGATTGGCATCCACTTCTTAAACAGCGTGCCTTGGCGAAACTCTATGAATATTAGAGAAACGATGATAGTTACTAAACAGGATTCAGATCTTTTGTTCATAGGGTTGCTCTAAGTTGTGCTTGGCACTTAACAACAACAGTTAAGGATTTAAAATTTCATCTCATGTCAAAATTAAGACTGATTGTTGACTCTGATGAACCTAAGAATGAGTCTAGACACACATAGAAAGATAACACCGGACATTGGAGTCTTTGAACCAGGTACTCCTAAAAATTCTTGCCATGTATTAAGATAGCCAATTCTCATAACTCTCTAAGATAGGAGCTGTTACTATCCCAGTTATATAGTATAAAGAAGGTCTGTGGTGGTTAGTGGTAAGGAGTTGTGCTGCCAGCCCAAACGCTGTCTTCTCCTCTGTGATTTACAATCTCTGAAACTCGCTCGTGAGTCAGGAGTGGGTCGGTTCTTAAATGATACTCAACAACAATAGGTTAAGAAATTAGATCTCATACAGGAAGGAACTTGATCAAGGTCATATAGGCATAACTAGGATGCATGTTGCAAAAGTGAGAAATAGTTTATTGCTATTAGATGGAGGAGATTCTCTTACTAACGACCAAAGGGATAATCGAGTGTTTGATTTTAGCAGTGGTCTGGATAACAGGAATATTTATGTCCCTGGAGCCTTGGGCAAGGACCCTGTTAAAGGAAACACTCTCTGAGCCTAGATTTTCTTTTCAGAGAGGTTTCCTTTATTATTGGAAGCTGAGCACGGTCTGGGAATATCTATTCTTAAGCTAACCTTAACAGTGATTTCTTGCTATCTTACAGATGATGATCTCCATGTTCTAAGGAAGAAGCCAAGAGAGGCCTGGAGTTGGCCTGGAGAGGAGCCTTTTCTCCAGTGACAGCCATGATGAGAGAAAATTGGGCCCACAGTGCTCTGCGACAGGAGGGTCTTGCGAAAGGGAAGGACGATACCTGGAAATGGGGAACCAGCCTCCAGGGGAGCAGCTCCTCTGTTTGGGAGATCTCCCACTTACACTTCAGACAGTTACGTTACAGTGAGACCTCAGGGCCCCACGAGGCCCTGAGCCGACTGCGAGAGCTCTGTCGCCGGTGGCTCAGGCCAGAAGCTCGCACCAAAGCCCAAATCCTCGAGCTGCTGGTGCTGGAGCAGTTCCTGAGCATCCTGCCTGGGGAGCTCCGGACCTGGGTGCAGCTGCATCGCCCCGGAAGTGGGGAGGAGGCCGTGGCCCTGGTGGAGGAGCTGCAGAAAGACCTTGATGGACCCGCATTAAAAGTGAGAGAGGGAGAGGGAGAATCTGGGATGGAAGGATGGAGGAAAGGCAGGAAGGGCTGAGCTAGAGGGTGGCCTGAGATTTTTATTAACAATTTTTATTAAGAATACCACATTGCAACCCAATGCTAATTAAAGTAGGTTCATCAACTATTCTTACCATAGATTATCTTAGCAGAGGAGTAGATTTAGGACTGGAGTCTTTGGGCCCAACTCAGAATCAGCAGAAAGACATTGACTCTGCTTTGTCCATCCCCCACCCCAGGTGATGCTTGCTAATGCTGAGTTCGGTTCAAGAACCTGAAGAACATGATGTTTGTAGGTGTTCCCTAAATAGAAGCCTATGCATTGCTTGTGTAAGTCTCTTTAGAATAATGCTATAAGCCCTGGTATAGCAAGAATGAAGCTTTCCAGGTCTGGCCAGACCTTCCCTTGTAGCTCTGTGCCCTTGTGGGGAATTCTGGGAGCCAAGGGACTGGGTTTAAATAGTTATAGCTGATAAAATTGTGTAGCCTTGGCCATTAAATTGGAATCTTAATGCCATCTCTAGTGTTTGTATAATTTTCTGTCAATTTGTAGTCCATTGTATATATGAAGTCTGACCCATAACTTAACCATTGAACCAAGAACAGTTTTCTTTGTTTTAATTGTGAAAATTTAAAAAAAAAAAAGATTAAAGCTGGATTTGAGAGATTAAAGCTGAAACAGGAACAGGTTAAATGATTTGCTTCAGTTCAGTCTGACATGTTTTCCACAGAGGTAGCAGCAAAGCGTTGACTAGGCTCCCACTCTGTTGGGGTAGGAAGGAGTTAGGGGTAAATAATAGAAGAGTTGTGATTGAACCCAGGTCTGACTCTCAAATCCATGCTCTTAATTACTGCTTGTTACTTCCCATTCCCTCCTTAACCCATTCCCAGGTCTGGCTCTGTCCCCACTGTTCTGTTCAGTGTCCTCTGGGAGAGGTCACCAGTGCCATAGGGAATAATGGCAGCTCCATTGTTCTCAAGGCAAAGCTTTACTGCCGTTTTGATGCTCCATATTGGAGGTGGGTATCTCTGATCTCACAGTTTTGGATTGTGGGCAGAAAGAGGTCCAAGGTGGTTAGGCAAGTCCATTTTCCGAAAAGAAAAGAAACATCAAACTCACTGTGTCTTGTTTCCAGGTCCCGGTCCTTCCTCAGACCCAGGACCCTCTGCAGGAAGGGATTCATTCTCCAGGAACAGCGCTCCCTCTTGCACGTGCAGGAACGTGTCTGAATCCTCTCACCGACCCCGTGGTATTTAACCTCCAGGACCCTCAGCATGGTACTCACACAGTGGCCCTGGCTTTGCCCTTTCTCGGGACCCTTGCTTTGGCTCCCCCTCCAACTCCTGGGGAGTGACTGCTGCCTCTGCTCTGTTTGAGAATACTTTGTCGTACTACGCTTGCTACTACTTTCCTCTTGTCTTTTTCTGAGTCGTTCTACCCCTTCATCCGTTATTATTGCTATACTTTGTGTTGCTCCAGCCCTGTGCATAGGGGGACAGTTCATGCAAAATGTTTGTTGGTCTTTTTGTAGCCGTATCTGTAGGAGTTTCAGGGCTCGTGGTAGGTGAGAAATAGTGATAATAATCCCACATGCACCCTTTTCTCCTCTTCAGATCCTCTTGCTCCTGAGGCTTCTGCCCTTTCCCAGGAAGAGAACCCAAGAAACCAATTAATGGCCCTCATGCTCCTCACAGCTCAGCCCCAGGTGAGACTCGCTCCTCTTTTCCTTCCTCAGGCCCTCACTGTTGTTGTGATTGTGCCCTCTTTCATCCTAGTGCATGGGTGTCCCTGCACCTCCTGTTTCTAAAACAAGGTCCATATTGGATGACTGACTTTGCACGGGGTTTCCTTATTTCTCTGTAACATCCCTTGCCTACTTCCTGACCTCACACTGTGTCCCTTCCTTTTCAGGAATTAGTGATGTTTGAGGAGGTGTCAGTATGCTTTACCTCAGAGGAATGGGCCTGTCTGGGCCCAATTCAGAGGGCTTTGTACTGGGATGTGATGCTGGAGAATTACGGAAATGTGACCTCCTTAGGTGAGCTGCTCGTCCCATCACGCTAATCCTATTTCCTCAGCTTTTGTTTATTTGCTGATTAGAAAAGCAGTATAGAACTATTTTTTTAAAAGAAAATTTTTTCCTAACTCTACTTTTTGCAAATTGGCATTTTTATGTATTAAGTTTTTTAAATGTATTTGAGAGTTTATTTTACGTGTTTTAAGAGAGAGAGAGGGCGTGCGCGTGCACGTGCGCGTGTTTGTGCCCAGCTTGGTTTCTCCTATGCTCTCCTTATGCTCATACTATTATACGTTCTTTGCAAATATTATTTTACTACATAATTTGTACCATAATCTTTATTTCCTTATTATGGTAATTGCTATAATAATAACTTCAGTAAATTATTACTGTGATTACTAATAATGCTAAATTACTAGTAACTATTAAATTATTATTTAGTAAAAGATTTAACTTTAATTCATAGAAGTAAAATTTCTAGGCCTCAGTGTTTGACTGTGTTTAGGGCTTCAACTTGATACAGCCACACTGCTTTCCATAATGACCCTGGTCTCTTCTGCTCTCACCGGGAGTGCCGACCCATGCTCCTTAGCTCTTTCCCATTGGTACTGAGCAATCCCATTTTAAAGTTTTTTATTTAAAATAAACATGTAATTTTTTTGCTAATAAGAACAGTTTTATCTATTTATTCTTCACTGATTTTCTTTGATTAGTACAGAATTTTTTTGGTTTTGTTTGTTTGTTTGTTTTTCTTTTTTACATTTGTGGTAATCACTTGTGTTCCCAGCAGACATTGAACACCTATCCCATAGTAAGAATGATAGGATTTCACCATAAGTAGTCTACACTGGTTGAGGAGGTAAACACAGAAAAGTTGTACACACGGCAAGGTGCGGTCATTGAGGTGACAGAGACATAAGCCAGTCTGATGGAAAAGCAGTTCCATTTTTAGGACTTAAGAAAGCCATAAAAAAAAGAGATCAGTTAACCTGGATCTGAAGAAAAGAATGAAAAAAGATAAAAAAGAAAAAAAGAATGAGAGTACATTTGAAGAAATAGGCATTACAGTTTGAAGAAATTGTGTTAAGAACTAATTCTGAATGAACTAGACATCATAGCTTCAAACCAGTTTGAACCAGTTCAGTCATAGCTGATGCAGCAGAGTTGAACTGATAAAAATTGGATGTACCAGAAGGATAGCTAGAGTGGGAGCTATCATACGTCAAAGCTCTGGAATGGGCAGTGGAAACTCAGAAGAAGCACATCCTTCAGGAGATGAATGCGTAACAGGGCTGTGGAGGGTAAAATGGTGTTATAGGCGCTGTCTGTGAGCCAAACACTGTTATTTCTGACTGGTTTCTTTGTTATGTAGTGTGCTTGTACTAACATATAGTGGGCCTGTGATTCCCTCCCCCGCCCATTCCAGTTACACTGATAGTCACCCACATTTACCAATTTAGGCCTGTTCCAGTGTCCCTTAATCAGCTATGACTGAAAAGAGAACTGGTTTGAAGCCCTGATACAAACAGATAGCATTCCTTTAAGTTGTGGTATAGTATTCCATTTTATCTGTCTCATACTTTACATTGTTTACAGTACAAATATGTGTATTCAAGAACATTATGTGTCATTCTGTTTGGTAAGTATTACCTTTGTATATTTTTCACTTGTTTTAAAGTCATGTTGTTCTAAACTTTGCATTTTTCTGATTGTGTTGATTCTTAGGAACCAGGAGTTTTCTAATATTTTCTAAATCAACTGTTATAGCCGATCCAGTAGTATTGATTTCTTATACTAATTTTGTACTCAGCAACCTTAATAAATTATATAATTTGTAGTAACTTGCAGTTCCCAAGGACTTGTCAGTTTTATCTTAAGTTGTCTGACTTATTGGCATTCCAGATGGGGCAACATGAGCATAGTTGTAAAGAAGGAGAGGGCATGTCAGGAGTTAGGAGGAAGAAGCACAGTGGAGCAGAAAGAAGAATAGGCAGTGAAGGGGGACTCTGCACAATCATGACATGTTTGGGGCCAGATCATCATGGCTAGAGTCTTGGGGAGTAACAGAGGGTATCTGAAAAATAGGCAGAAAGGAAGGGCAGCTCTTGTGGGCTATGCTGGCCATTTGTAATTTGTACTGTAGGTAATGGAGAGGCATTGGTTTTAAGGTTAGTGACATGATCAAATTTGCCTATTGGAAATATAGTAAGTTCAGGCATGGATGAAAAGAGAGGAGGAGAACTGAGGCTGAGGAATCCATTTTTGTTGGACTTCACCAGCAAGGAACTGGTTCTCTTTATCCATTGTGATGCTTTTCCATATACTAAGGTCCACTAAAGTTCATGCACTTGACTAAAAAAATTAAAAATTTCTTTCCATAATCTTTAAGTTTCCTTTCTTGCCACCACAGAATGAAGAAAAGAAGGAAGGCAGGTCTTTCTAAGCTAGGTAGTCCTTCTGTTTCCATCTAACTTCCTAAGCCTCAGATCTGAACCATATATGTAAGATCCTGTGTTCTCTGGAGTGCTGAAACAATGCCTTTCTAGTGGGCCCATTGAGGGTGTTTTAAATCATTTGAGGATCCTGTTCTTACACATACACAGGACATAGTAACATTTGCATTTTTAATTTTTTTTACCAGAATGGGAAAGCATGGCTGACAATGAGGAGGTGACATTAAAAGCAGGCATTTCCCAAAGGTCAGACTCTCAGAAAGGACCATCGAAAAGACTGCAACGAAGTGTTCCCAGAGTCCTCGACTTGGAGGAAGAATGTGAATGGCAGGTGTTGGCAAATCAGTGGGAAAATGAGACAGCGGACAGGACAGATGCAGTGAAGAGAGGGTCCCCACGTGAAGGAGACCAGAGGAGAAGAACTCCAGAGAGACGACGCCAGAAGGGGGAGGAATTGGGTGAAAGCTTGCATTTCAGTTCTGCTCTTTCTGAAAGCTTAGTGGGTATTGAAGGGAAGAAGCTTTATAAATGTGATATTTGTTGTAAACATTTTAATAAAATCTCTCATCTCGTAAACCATCGGAGAATCCACACTGGCGAGAAACCTCATAAGTGCAAGGAATGTGGAAAAGGCTTCATCCAGCGCTCCAGCCTTTTGATGCACTTACGGAACCATTCTGGTGAGAAACCTTACAAGTGTAACGAGTGCGGGAAAGCCTTCTCTCAGAGCGCTTACCTTCTCAACCATCAGAGGATCCACACCGGGGAGAAACCTTACAAATGCAAGGAGTGCGGGAAGGGCTTCTACAGGCACTCGGGCCTTCTTATCCATCTGAGGCGCCACTCTGGAGAGAGGCCTTACAAATGTAACGAATGTGGGAAAGTTTTCTCCCAGAACGCTTACCTCATCGATCATCAGAGACTCCACAAAGGAGAAGAGCCTTACAAGTGTAACAAGTGTCAGAAAGCGTTCATCCTGAAAAAGAGCCTCATTCTGCACCAGAGGATCCACTCTGGGGAAAAACCCTACAAGTGTGACGAATGTGGGAAAACCTTTGCTCAGACCACGTACCTTCTGGACCATCAGCGACTGCACAGCGCAGAGAACCCGTACAAGTGTAAGGAGTGCGGCAAGGTCTTCATTCGGAGTAAGAGCCTTCTCTTACACCAGAGAGTCCACACGGAAAAAAAGACCTTCGGCTGTAAAAAGTGTGGTAAGGTCTTCAGTTCCAAGTTGAACCTTAACGACCACAAAAGGCTGCACAGCAGAGAGAAGCCGTATAAGTGTACGGAGTGCGGGAAGGCCTTCACACAGAGCGCCTACCTCTTTGACCACCAGCGGCTGCACAATGGCGAGAAGCCGTATGAGTGCAGTGACTGTGGCAAGGTGTTCATTCTGAAGAAGAGCCTCATTTTACACCAGCGCTTCCACACGGGGGAGAATCTCTTCGAATGCAAAGACTGCGGCAAGGTCTTCGGTTCTCACCGAAACCTCCTTGACCACGAGCGACTGCACAATGGGGAGAAACCCTACGAGTGTCGAGAGTGTGGGAAGACCTTCATTATGAGCAAAAGCTTCACGGTCCACCAGAAACTCCACACCCAGGAGAAAGCCTACAAATGCGAGGACTGCGGCAAGGCCTTCAGCTACAACTCCAGCCTGCTGGTGCACCGCAGGATCCACACCGGCGAGAAGCCCTTTGAGTGCACCGAGTGCGGGCGAGCGTTCAGCTCCAACCGCAACCTCATCGAGCATAAGAGAATCCACAGCGGGGAGAAACCGTACGAGTGTGACGAGTGTGGCAAGTGCTTCATCCTCAAGAAAAGCCTCATTGGACACCAGAGAATTCACACGAGGGAAAAATCCTACAGATGCAACGACTGCGGCAAAGTGTTCAGTTACCGCTCTAACCTGGTAGCCCATCAGAGAATCCACACAGGTGAGAGGCCCTATGCCTGTGGTGAATGTGGGAAGGGCTTTACTTACAACAGAAACCTTATTGAGCATCAAAGGATTCATAGTGGAGAAAAAACCTATGAGTGCCATATATGCAGGAAAGTTCTCACCTCGAGCAGAAACCTCATGGTGCATCAGAGAATCCACACTGGGGAGAAGCCCTACAAGTGTAGCGAGTGTGGGAAGGACTTCAGTCAGAATAAAAACCTTGTCGTCCACCAGAGAATGCATACCGGGGAAAAGCCTTACGAGTGTGAAAAGTGCAGAAAGTCCTTCACGTCCAAGAGGAACCTAGTTGGTCACCAGAGAATCCACACAGGGGAGAAGCCTTACGGCTGCAACGATTGTAGTAAAGTTTTTCGGCAAAGGAAAAACCTAACTGTACACCAGAAAGTTCATACAGATGAAAAGCCCTATGAACGTGATGGGTCTGAAAAAGAATACTGTCAGATGTCAAACCTTCACCTTCGACAAAAGAATTCATACCGTGCAGGGTTTCTTTTGGCTACGGAATACGAATGAGCCACCTAATCTAGTCTTAAATCAAGTTAGATCTTCACTACCTAAGTAACTTTTGGAGGAATGACAATATATGGTTCTTGGAATGAAAAAAGAATATTGATTGACGCCTTTATAGAATGTTAATCTAGACTTCCAAGTGTACAGAAACCTAAATACCTAATGGTATTTCACGCCATTTGTTAGCACTCTTGACAGAGAACTTGGAGCTGTTAAGAACACTGAAAAAACCTGAGTATATGTCCCAAGAGGCGTATGTAGTTGTAAGTGATAGCAAAACTATCTTTTGTATTATAAAGGGCATTGGTTTTGAAAATACGTATGTGGTGTTATATACTGTTTAAATTGGAACCAACTCATAGCTGACCCTCCAGCAGGTTTTCAAAGGTGATAATGGAATTGGAGGAGATTGCCCATCTTTGTCCCATTTAGCAACTAGTGGATTTGAACCATGTGCCTTTGATTTGGCAGTGCAGCTCCTTACCACCAAGCCACCAGAGCTTCCTATAATATATATATATCGTGCTAAATATTTTCACGGTGGCATCTCACTACTACAGAATGTCTGTTTAGATTGGCTAAGTGATCCAGACCTGTAAGATATGGATTTGTATGGGCAAATGTCTGCAGTTTGAGAGCAACCTAAAAAGAGCTCTGGGTTTAGAATCTGAAGCCCTTTTGAGTTTCTGACTCCATCTCCTGCTCAGTATGTGAAACTGTTAAATCAGCCTCTGGGTCTCAATGTTCTCATTTAGTCAGCTCTTGACATAATGCCTACCTCACAGGACTGTTAGGAGAGTTAAGTGGCAGATCTTGATGTAAATACTTCGTAAACTCATTCAGTTGTCAATAAAATTGGATAAAAGAAATCAGATCAAAGTTGGGAGTATGAGTTAGAGAAGACAGTGTAAGTTTTCATTAAATCTAAATGTTAGGATGAGGGGATAATCCCTAAATATCAAAATATAAGCACTTTTAGGCTTAAAAAGAAATACAGTGGATAGTTTATTTTGGAATTTAGTCTATGAGTAATTTTTTTTTCTATGACTAATATTTAAAAATTTTTAAGGGATTACATAATGTACCTATTTAGCCTTTATAGGAAAAAAAATATTGAATTACTATAGGAAAGATATGTGTCTACACAGAAACTTTAGTGCCAAGGGAACAAATTAATTTTTCAACTTACAGATTTGAAACCACAGACATAGTCCTGTGTTGCTTTTCTGGTTCATAAGGAACAATCCTTAACCCTAACTCCAGAGCTGATGATCCCTACCATTGTCAGTTCTAATCAACATCTCTGGTTGTTTGACTACAAATGACTACTTACTAAACTGTCCCCATAAGTTGTGAGCATTTGACATGCTTAGTTACTTGATGACGAAGGCACATATCATAGTGAAGAAATTGGAAGCTCTTGGATTGTTTATGGACCATAAAAGAATCTGTACCCATGTTCTTTTCATGCACTCAACTACCTAAGCCTTTTACAGAGTCCTTCAAACTCTGATGAACACAGTTCAGAATATTCTCCTGAGCTGGTCAGTACCCATGAACCCACAGCAGACCAGTCTTATAGTTAGTCTGTGCCTTTTGTACATTTGTAGATAAAATTCATCCTAGGTTCTTGAGCTTGAGCTTGGTAATATGTTTTTCAAGTCTTAATTCAACAACTGTGTTATAAATAATAGCTCAATATCAAAGATTGTGTTTTCTGATATGAGTAGCACCTAAATGTGTCAAGTGTTAAATAATTCAACTTCAGAGCCCCTTAAGGACTGACTCCTCATTAGACATAAAGGAACCAAAAAGTGAAATCTGGAATGAACTTCAGGTTACAAGTCTTAAGACTTGGATATGTGGGGAGCTCTGGTGTCCTAGTGGCAAGACGCTGAGCTGTAATTCCAAAGGCATGAAGTTCAAATCCACCAGATGCTCTGCTGGAGGAGGAGCAATCTCCTCTTGTGCCAGTCGCATCTGATTCGATGGTACACAACAAAGAGAAGAAGAAGAAAGGAAAAAAAAGACTTGGATATGAGTTATGTTCTGCCACTTCTCTTAAATAAATCATGGAGCTTTGATTTCCTCATTTGTTTTTTGAAAGTAGTAGTATTTATCTTGAAAAGTTGCTTTGAAGTAATTAATATGAAGATGCTTTGCAAGAGGAAAAAAACTCACTGGAAGTTTCTGTTTCAAGCTGTCTGGGCATTAGGGATCTCACATAGAAATGGGTCATAGCAGAACTGATAATAGAAAAAAGCTGGGATGTCACCCCACAAGGGTCTCTGTTCTCTGACAATCACTGGCAGGTATTTATTATAGCCTTTGAAAATAATGACAATACAGAACAGGAAAGGAGAGATTTAGATGAGACTTGCTAAGTCTTAACACTTGCTAAGCATGTAACAAAAATACTTTCATTTTGAGTGTCACAACTGCAGATGAGTTATTCCCTTGGGTTGTGGGTTTCACACAGGGCATATGGTCTCAGCAGTCACGTGCTGATGAGAGTGGTCAAGGTGAGGAAATTGTAGGCTTGGGCATTCTGTACATATAAAGGACTTTCTGTACCAGCTATGCTATAGAAATAATAACCCAGTCTACATAATAATTATAGAGAAGTGGACATTATCAATAGGGGAAAGCTGGCGATTCTCTCTTAACCAAGTGCTAAAATGCAACACCATTCAGATAGTAACAGCTTACAGAATGGGCCTTTTTAGGGGATACAATAAACTAGGGGGGGGAAATATCATCTAAATCAAGCTTCTTAGACCTTAGTACCAGGTTAAGGGGGGAAAAAACAATGCCCAGAGAGCAGACAAATGCAAAGTGGGTACAATCTAAATAAACAGTGACAGGCTCAAGA